TTGATAATCTTTGGGGTATAGCCACAGAAATAGATTCAGCAGCCTAGAAAGAATTTGTAGAACCGTTATTGCAAACTGGTGGCCTTCATTCTGTATTTGGTCCTCTGATGTTTTTGTTTTGGGCCCAAATGTGTGTGTTTTTCTTTTCTTTTTCTTTCTTTCTCTCTCTCTTTTTTTAAATATTAGGGCCTATGGTGAATATTGGGATTTTACATTAAAATCTGGACTCTGGCTTTTTTTTGAAAAATGAGATAATCTAGCAGCATCCACCCCACATTTCTGCATGGCAGTAATTGCCTGGAACTGAATAGTGGCTGCCCCTCAGATAGGGCATGTATGTGGTCTTAAGTTTGCCACAGTCCCCACGGTATTTTTATACCACTCCCTATGGTATTTTTCACAGTGATTCCATATTGCTCCATTTACTTATCTTCCCTCCTTGGCAACTGTAGGCATTTGAGTTTGTGACCCTGCTATAAAGTAAAACCTGAAGAGGGCCTAGGAGAAGCCTAAGGAGCTACACCATTTAAAGGGGAGGTGGAGGAGGAGGAGGAGTTAGCAGAGAAGACAGAAGAGCAGCCAGAGAGACTGGAGAAAAGCCAGGAGGATTTTTGTGAAGAGGAGGGAATGTCGACCAGCTGAGCCCAGTGCTGCTGACTTGGTCTGACACAAAGGATGTGTCCTTTGGCCTAGTCATGTGGAGGGCATCAGTAGCCCTGGTGAGAGGTGCTGCATTCACAGGGTGCTGGTAGAAGGCAGGTTATGAGGCATTGAGGAGTGGATGGGAGGAAATGGAGACAGGGTTGGAAACTTGTTCAAGAAGTTTGGCTGTGAAGGGCAACTTGTGTTGAGAAACCACGGGATAAACACTGCATCAACCTGGAGTGTGTTAATTTGGCTTTGAGTATTTGGGAAGAGCCATTATAATATAAACAAACAATAGGTACGTTATAGAATAATGAGGCCTCTGAGAGAGGAGTAGAGAAGACTAGAAAGATTAGGTTTGGGCTAAACATTGAGTGTTCTCCCTTTGCCAGGCTCTGTGCTAATCCCTTTGCATGTGTTAATCTCATGTAGTTCTCAAAATGACCCTATGTTGTGTCTCTCTAGAGTTTTCCTCATTTTGTGGATGAGCGAACAGATTTAGAGAGGTTCAGTTGCATGGCTGATAAGTGGCAGAGGTGGGGTTTGAATCTGGCTGTCACACTGAATGTCTATATGCTCAGCTGCTTTTGTTTTCCTTGAGGATATCCAGTTGTATCAGCAGCATTTGTTGAAAAGGTTTTTCTTTTCCCACTGAATTGCTAGGCATTTTTGTCAAAAATCAAAATGGCCACATATGTGTGGATCTATTTTTAGGCTCTCTTTTCTGTTTCGCTGATCTACGCATCTCTTTTTTTGACATTAGTCGACTGTCTAGATTACTATAGCTTTCTGGTAAGTCTTGAAATCAGGTAACTTAAGTCCTTCAACTTAGCTCTTTTTAAGAATTGCTTGGACTAATCTAGATCACTTGCATATCCATAAATTTTAGGATTGTCTTGTCAATTTCTATAAAAAGACCTGCTAGGATTTTGATTGGGATTGTGTTCACTATTGTTAGACTTTTCAAAAAGGAATTAGGGGCTGGCCAGATAGCTCACTTGGTTAGAGCGTAGTGTTGTAACACCAAGATCAGGGGTTCGGTTCTCTATACCAGCAAACTGCCAAAACAAAAAAAAAAGGAATTAATGAGGCTTGAGTCTCATTTCATATGGTCATTAAAGGAAATTCCACTAAAATGTGTGACTGTAGGCCAAAGGTTAACTAAAGTTACAGGGTGAGGCAGGTCAGGAAAGTTAGATGATAAATGGTAGCTGATCCTGGACCATAGTAGAGGAATACTAAGGTATAGGAAGGACTTGGGGCAAAGAGGAGAACCCAAGCCCTGTCTAAGGGGCAGCCACTTCTCAGCTCTGTCTGTGTTACCATGCCATACATAACATGGGTTCAGTGTTGTATGATCTTTCAATCAAGAGAAGTTGGAAATCCAGGTTTTTATGCAGTCTCCTAATTTTTAAAATTGAAATTTTAAACACTGCACGGGTCCACATCTTGTGGGTCAAACAGAACTCTTTCTAGGCTAAAAGTGGCCCATGGGCTGCTAGTGTGTGGCCTCTGCTTTAGGGTAATCTTTCTTTGGTCCTCATTGTCATCTCTGTAAACATGAGAATGTTGAATACAGTCTCAAGGGTTTTTCTAGCTCAGAGATTCTAAATTTCAAAAGAAGAAAATATCAAAATAATTCAAGGTTTTAAGAGGTAGCTGAGAATATCAGCATAAGGATAATATCTTGAGAAGTTGTCCAGAGCTTTATATTTTCCATATCATTGTCATGTCTGTTCTCTCTTACTTCTCGCATCATCTTTGTTAAGGAGGCTCCAGAATAATTTGCCCAACCACATGGGAGCTCCAGGTTACAAAGGCAGGTCTTCCAAGTCCAGTGCTCTTTTCACTGTAGTGCATCAGTCTCTGAAAGCTCTGGAAACAGGCACTTTAGGAGGGAGAGCAGTTATGGGGGACTCTGAGAGAGCCTTAAGCTCAGCTGAAGGCACATCTCTAACAGGATTTAGAACTTAGCCTTGTTGAAGTGTCACAGCTTTTGGGTAGGAGTTGTGTAAACTCTCTGAAGGCAGGAACTTTGGCATGTATTCATGTCAGTAAGCCAGTGCCTGGCATAGTGTCTGACACACAAGTTTTTGTTTTAAGTTTGTTTTTTTTTTTTTTTTTGGTGGCTGGGGGCATGGGGTTCCAAATTTGGTGTTATAACACTGCATTGTAACCAACTGAGCTAAATGGTTAGCCCTTAAGTTTTTGTATAAAGTAAATAAATGGGTGGATTAATCCTTCAAAAAAGCAATCAAAAGCTTAAAATAAATGTTGCTGAGGATTTTGTATAGAGAATATCAAGAATAGAGAGTCAAATGCTTCTGATAAGTGCTTTTAGAACATTAAGATTGAAAGCTGAGAAACTTTATTCTTATAACTCAGCTCATAGATGGAAAAAGCTTACTGTGTCTCCTTTCTCATATTTGACTCTCAGATCTGGGTTTTGATTAATACATTGTAACCATCTCCCCATGCAGTATGTTTGAAAAATCAAATACAGCAGGTATTAGGAAGTTAAGGCCACCGAAAGGTTTTGTATGCCTTTAAAATTTCCAAGTGGATACGAGTCCTTAACTTTCGGAGGTGCATATTGAATATGGAATGACACGATGTCTGGGATTTCTTTCAGTGGGGCATTATGAGTATTGGGGGATAAAGATGAAACAAGATTGGACATAAGTTGGTAATTGTGGAAGCTGTAGGATGGATAGATGGGGTTTCATTATACTAGTCTCTATTTTGTACAAGTATATATTTGACATTTTTTATAACAAATGTAAAAACAACGGGCCGGCCCGGTGGCGCACTGCTACAGTGCGCCGCTTGGGAAGCGCGGCGGCGCTCCCGCTGAGGGTTCGGATCCCACATACAGACCGGTTCCCGCTCACTGGCTGAGCGAGGTGCGGGAGCAACACCGAGGGTTGCGATCCCGTTGCAGGTCTGGGTCCGGTACGGGCGCGACACTGAGGGTTGCGATCCGTTGCCGGACATGAAAAAAAGACAAAAAGGAAAAAAAAGAAAAAAAAACAAAAAAAAAACAAATGTAAAAACAAAACAAAAGAGAATTAGAGAGCTTCCCTAGGCTCAACAATGCTTTTGGTTAAACAAACTTCACCTTTTTGAGTTTCTAAACAGTATGATCATTGAAGGAGAAATGGAACAAAGTAAAAGAATGTGGCAGAAAATAGGAATGTGGACTTGGAGTTAGACAGCTGTGGCTTGACCTCCTGCTAGCTGTGCCACCGTGGGCAGGTCACTAAACTTCCCTGAGTCTGGGTCTCCAGGTCTGTGAAAGCGGGTGCATGATGTGATGGTTAGGGATGAAGCGTCTGAGGACAGCAACTGGCTAATCCTCGGGGCTCCGATCTGGTAGTTTTTATTATTATTACACAAAGATAGTAATGAAAGGGTAAAAATCTGCCTCAGCGCTCTCATCCATAAACCCTTTCTTCCTTATATGAATTATATGTGCCAAGGGTTATGTAACCACAGAGCTAATTTATTATTTTAGAAACAGAACTCTTAAAGACCAGATCGGACCACTTTGGGATTTACAAGAGCTGTAACCAGTTTACTGCCTTTTGAAAAATGAAGTAAGGAAGAACTTACAGAAGAAAGACATTAAAACAGTGGGATACTGTTTTATACCTGTTGCATTGGCCTCCTTCCTTACCCCAATTAATGATAATATCCAATGTTAGTGAGTTTTTTGGTGAAACTGTTTTCTCATATGTACATTGGTAAACCCTTTGGGAAAGCATTTTGGCAGTATGTATTGAGAGCCACCAAAAGGCCCATATCCAGAGATTCAGTAATCACTCTTTAGAATGTGTTCTAAGGAAATAATTCAGAATAAGAAATGTTATGTAGCCATTAAAAATGATTATGTAATAACATAGAGAAAGCTTATGATATAAACATGCAAGATTGTTCTTATGATCACAACTGTGGGGTTATTACACATAAATGTAAATGGAAACTAGAAAAGAGCATAGAAAGGAAAACAGTTCACGTGTTAAGGTCATAGATAGTAGCTTAATTTTTCTTTAAGAAATTCTTTTATTGCTATTAAAGAATGTGTCTACATGCCTTCACATGCACACTGAAAGACCTTGCAGGAGTACCTTACCATCGTGGCACATGGGACATTTGGAATGTGGGTGAATTCTTTCCATAGATAATCAAAAACCAGAAAGCACTGGAAACCTGAAAGTTGTGATCATGTAAGTAGAGAGGAAATTGGAACCAAGACTTATTCTTGAACCATTCCACTACAAATACCACACTTTGGTGCTTCTTTCAGATCTCTTCTGTCATCTCTTAATATTCTTGAAATTGCTTTGTTTCCAGGTTCAATTTCAGAAGCTTCAGCAACTGCGCCTTACACAGTACCATGGAGGATCCTTACCAAATGTGAGCCAGCTGCGGAGCAGTGCATCAGAGTTTCAGGTACCTCCGTATATGTACTTTCTTCAAGCTGAATGAAGTGTAAAAAGATAGGCAAAGATTATCCCTAAAAGTATTTACTCTTGAAGGATAAACTGGGTCTAGGTACAGGTGAGTGTTCTTCTGGGAAGTCCGTCAATATTCTCTTTCATAGTTTCTATAGCATAAGATAGTGTTATTTCACAAATGGTCTAAGGCAGCATAGTCCAGTAGAGATATAATGTGAGCCACATATGTAATTTAAAATTTTCTGGTAGCCACACTAAAGAATAGGAAACTGGTGGAATTAATTTTTATATTATGTAAATTATTTAAATAATTATTTATCCCAATATATCCAAAATTTGATCATTTCAACATGTAATCACTATAAAAAACATTAGATATTTCACATTCATTTTTCTTGTACTGAGTCTTTGAAATCTGTTACGTATTTTACACTTAAAACACATATCAGTTTAGACTAGGCACATTTCCCCAGCTTCGTGCGGCTAGTGGCTACCACATTGGACAGTGCAGATCTAAGGCATAGATAAATGGCCTATTTGCATCTAGATTAGTGCACTGTCAGAGGGTGCTTTAATCATTCCTATCACTGAAGAGCCTTGTAAAACAATGTCGAATTGGTGTTTTAGACAATGGTATATGGTACTGTTGTTAAGATCCAAATTAGACCTACTTAGATATCCTAGTTGCTGAAAAATTAGGAGTCTGTAATTAGAATTACACAATTTAAGATTTGGTGTTAAGACTGAGATCTAAACTTCATTTATTTTTATTTTTACTTTTTTGGCGGCTGGCCAGTAAGGGAATCTAAACCCTTCACCTTGGTGTCATCCACACCACACTCTACCAAGTAAGCTAACTGGCTAGCCCCTGAGACCTAAACTTTAAGATGAAGCATCACTTGACTCATTGGGATGCCTCTCCATTTTAAAATCACTGTCTTATTTCTTTGTTGTAGAAACTGGGGTCATTTGTTTGATGATGTCAAGTAAAGCAAATGTATTATTGGGGAATTCCACTTAAAAATGCTAATAGGAACTCTAAATATAATGATGATTAGAAAAAGTATAATATGAACAGATTGGTACCCTATATACTGGAATCTCATCTTTAATATAATGGCATTTTATTATCACTATAATACTGCCTATATCAGAGATTTACTGTTATAGATCAAATTGTCTTATATATTAGCCTGTTGGATCATTTGGAATATAAATAACTAGGTCTCTGCTTTGTGCTGGATTGAATGCTTCAGAAAATAGAGTATTGTCAAAATTTGCTGTGTTTGAGATCCTGATTTTGTGGTATTTTATTGTCAGCTTTAGAGGAATGCAGAATTTACTATGATACCCTCTTCCCATTGCATTGGGGAATGAAATAAAGTGATAATCCTTGGCCTTCCCAGGATTTTTTTTTAAGTTTTTTTTTTTAGTTTGAAACAGTCACAAACTTACAGAAAAGTTGGAAGTTCAGTACAAATAACTTTTTTTCCCCTTGAGAATAAGTCGCTGACCTGATGCCTTAGTACTCCAAAATATTTCATTGTGTTTTTCCTACAAGCAAGGACATTGTCCTGTGTAACCAAAATACAGCCATCAACATCAAAAAATTAACAGTAATACATATTACCATCTGATCCTCAGACCTCGTTCAGGTTTCAAGGAATGTCCGGTCACTGTCCTCTATAGCAAAAGGAGTCACATTCAAAATCACATGTATTTAGGTATCATTTTCTGTAGACTCTTTCAGCCTAGAATAGTTTTTCAGTCTTTTATTTTTGACATTAAAAAAAGTATTTTTGACTTTTGTGACTTTGCCACTTTGGAAGATTACAAACCAGTTATTTTATAGAATATTCCTTAGTTGAGATTTGTCTGATGCATATTTGTGATTAGATTCAGGTTATGAATCTTGGGTAGGAATTACACAGAAGTGATGTTGTTGTTATGTTTCATTCAGTGTGTGATATTGATTTGTTTTGTTACTGAATATGTTCCCTTTCATTTTTTAATAAACTTTAAAGTGGTATATGTCAAGCTTCTCTTCTCTAAAGTTACTCCTTTCCCCTTTGTAATGAATAAATATTTAGTGAGGAGGCACTTTATCCTGATCCTCACTAAACTTTTGATTTATATGTTTATTTATTTCTCTCTGTATATGGTTTTAGGGTTTCCTGTTTTATTCAATGGGTTATAATCTATAACTGTTTTATTTTGATGTTCACATTATCCCTGATTAGGCCAGTAGGAGCCCTCTTCCAAACTGAGAAAAACTCTAGACAAACTCAGAAAAAAAGGGAATCCCAGAATCACAGATTCTCTTTATAAGTAAACTTTTTTGAAGTATAATTTACATAATTAAATTTAAAACAATTTAACATTCTTAGGTATACAGTTCTATAAGATATAATCACCACCACAATTATGATATAGAAAAGTTCCATCACCCCAAGAAGTTCCCTTGTGTCCTTTTAATCAATCAATCTTCATCCCCCACGTCCAGCCTGTAGAAATGACTAATTTGTAGTTTTGCCTTTGCCAGAGTCCTATCTACAGAATCAAAAGCATATAGTCTTTTGAGTTTTTTTTTCCACTTCACATATTGCATTTGAGGTTCATCTGAGTTGTTGCATGTATTAGTTTCCTAGGTCTGCTATAACAAAGTACCACAAACTTGGTGGCTTAAAACAATGGAAACTTCTTTTCTTTTTTTTTTTGGCGGCTGGCCAGTACAGGGATCCGAACCTGTGACCTTGTAATTATGAGGCTGCACCCTAACCAACTGAGCTAACTCGCCATCCCTATTTTTTCACAGTTCTGAGTTCAGCAGTATAAAACCAGGGTGTCAGCAGTGCCATGCTCTCTGAATGCTCTCGGGAAGAATCCTCTCTTGCCTCTTCCTAGCTTCTGTGGGTTGCTGGCAATCTTTAACTTGTAGCTCCACCACTCCACTCTCTGCCTCTGTTGTCACATGATCTTCTTTTGTTTTGGTGTCTTTGTGTCCAAATCTCCCTTTCCCTTCTTTTATAAAGGCACCGGTCATTGTATTTAAGGCCCACCCTGATCCAGTATGACCTCATCTTAACTTGATTACATCTGCAAGATTCTGTTTCCAAAGAAGGTTAATTCACAAGTTCTGGGGGTTAGGTCTTGAACATATCTTTTTTAGGGGACATAATTCAATCCACTACATTGCATTTACCAGTAGTTCATTCGTTTTATTGCTGAGTAGTTTTCCATTGTATGAATGTTTATCCATTTATCAGTTGATGGGCATTTGGATTGTTTCCACCTTTTGGCAATTATGAGTAACGACACTATAAACATTCACATACAGTTTTTGTGTAAATACCTAGAGTGGAATTGCTGGATCATATTGTAAGTGTATATTTAACTTTACCTTTATAAGAAATTACCAAGTTGTTTTCCGAAGCAGCTATACTATTTCACATTCCCACCAGCAATATATGTGAGTTCCAGTGACCCATCTTCTTCAGCACTTGGTATTTCAGAGTTTGGGGTTTTTTAAATTACGGTAAAAAGCACGTAACATAAAATTTGCAGTCGTAACTATTTTTAAGTGTACAGTTTAGTGGTGTTAAGTACATTCATATTGTTGTGCAACCAATCTCTGAAACTTTTTCAACTTACAAAACTGAAACTCTATACCCATGAAACAACAATCCCCCATGTCTCCCTCTCCCAGCCTCTGTTGACCACCATTCTGTCTCTGTGAATTTGACTTCTAGGTGTCTCATGTACGTGAAATCATACGCTATTTATCTTTTTGTGACTGGCTTGTTTCACATAGCATAATGTCCTCAAGGTTCATTCACGTTATAGTATGTGACAGGAATTCTTTCCTTTTTAAGGCTGAAAAATATTCCCTTGTATGTGTATACCACAGTTTGTATATTCATTCATCTGCTGATGGACGCTTGGGTTACTTCCACCTCTTGGTGTGTATAGTGCTGCTGTGAACCAAGGTGTACAAATACCCCTTTGAGACTCTGCTTTCAATTCTTTTGGGTATATACTCAGAAGTGGGATTGCTGGATCACATGGTAATTCTGTTTTTAATTTTTCAGGGAACTGCCATACTGTTTTCTGTAGCAGCTACACCAATTTACATTCCCAACAACAATATACAGTGGTTCCAGTTTCTCCACACCCTTGCCAGTGCCTGTTATTCCCTTGCTTTGATAGTAGCCATCCTATTATCAGAAGTGTGAAGTGATGGTATTTTAGTTTTAAAAATTTTGGTCATGCTAGTGCGTGTGTAGTGGTATCTCTTGATTTTAATTTGCATTTTCCTAATGACTAATGATGTTGAGCATCTTTTTTTATGCTACTTGATATTCTTATATCTTCTTTGATGAACTACATGTTCAAATATTTTATCCAGTTTTTAAATTGAATCATTAATTTTCTTATTACTGTGTTGTGAGAGAGTTTTTACATTTTTTGATACCAATTCTTTATCAGATATTTATTTTGCAAATATTTTCTCCCAGCCTGTAGCTTGTTTTTTTTATTTTTTTTAACAAGGTCTTGAAGAGCAGAAGTTTAAAATTTTTTTTTTTCTTCCTTTTTTTTGTCTTTTTTCGTGACCGGCAACGGATCGCAACCCTCGGTGTTGCGCCTGCACCTCGCTCAGCCAGTGAGCGGCCGGTCTGTATGTGGGATCCGAACGCTCGGCGGGAGCGCTGCCACACTCCCAAGTGGCGCACTGTAGCAGTGCGCCACCAGGCCGGCCCAGAAGTTTTAAATTTTGATGAAGTCCAGTATATCAATTTTGTTCTTTTATGATTTGTGCTTTTTGTGTCTATCTAAGAATTCTTTGCTTAATTCAAGGTCACAAAGATTTTTTTCCTATGTCGTCTTCTAGAAGTTTTATAGTTTGGGGTTTTATAGTTAGGTAATTATGAGTTAATCTTTTTATGTGGTACAAAGTATGGGTTTGAGGCCCACTTTTTTGCATAGGGATGTTGAATT